CCCCCCCCCCCCCCCCCCTGGGTGCTTGTGGCAGGAATGGCCGGCAGGTGGAGAAACCTGACTTTTGGATAGGCCGGCCTCTCAGAGTTTGGAGTTGAATGGGTAGCAATATGAGCTATAGTCTAAACTCCTCAGAGGGAGACATATAGGGGAGCATTATAGGGGTGATTAAATGGTGTACGAGGGGTTTAGACTACAGCTCATGAAAGTGGGGCTAGGGCACCTTAAGCTGCTAGTTATAATCCTGCTGCAACCCTGGTCGAAACTACCCGTCAGACATCAACAAAAGTGAGGGTGAGGAAGAGCCCGGCGGCTGATGTCCTGAATTTGATGTACGGGCAGAGTCCAGCTGAGACCAAGTGAAGCAGAGAGAGAACTGGGGGTTTGCCAAAATAAGGGGTACCATTTCGGGGGTACCGAGAATAAGGACTATAGTACTTTGGGGTTTATATTGGGTTCCGTCTATTCTTGGAAACTGCCAACTGTAGAACCCACAGCTGCTCGTTGGAGCGCGGGTTTCGTGCAACCAGGTGATGGCTGTCCTTTCGAGATCCCCCGCCCGGATGTCACCTACCCCATCCGCTTCTACGGTGATGTGGAGGACACTTCCGCATTCCACAGATTCAACTTGGGAGTTCATTTAAATGAGGAAGCAAAATGTGTTTGGTTTCCTGTGGTTGGAAGTTGGGGTGCCAACATTACATACAGCATACCGTTGCCTTCTGTAGACTCTAGACATTGAACGCCACCACATGTTGAGGCTCTCCCCCAACATGCTTGCTTTGATTTCTGCATTCTGCATTCCTGACAGGAAGTGGAGGTTGATGGCCAGAAAGTGTCCAGGCCAACCAGTCTGGCGATGAATGCTGTGGACTTGGGAGGGAGCCTGGCTGCCGCAGGTGGGTTGGCGGGGAGATTGTGCAAGCGATGGCATACGACAATCCAATTCCTGGATTTGAGTCTGGCATGCAATTTATGTTAGCGCTCAGCCGCTCGATGTGCAAACCATGACCGGTGCAACCTTCTGAATTCCTGTGGATGTAAGGACACCTTCAACACCAACAACCTCCGACTGTGGCGTGCTTGCCCTTCCAAGGTTCGTGCCAGTTCTGCAGACGGGGACCATGATCGCTGTGCTTGGTGGAGATTGTGCCTGTGCAGGAGTTCGACCTGAACGCCTACAACAGCGCGCAGTTTTCCGAAGCCATTGATCAAAGAAGACGAGCCGAAGATTTGTCCGCCGTCCTATACCCCAATGATGCCTGTCTGTGAATGCCATGACTTTCAAGGTCAAGCATCTTTTTTTGTTCTCTCTACGCAGCTTGATGATGCAGCGCGTGCCTGCGTAGAGGGACAGGTCACAGCAGATATCCATGCTCTGCCTCAGCCACGCCGTCAGCAACAGCCATAATCGATCTTGTCAATTTTCAGTGGAGAATTGCACGTGTGACATGGTAGTTTCCCAGAATAAGGGGACCCCAATATAGACCCTAAAATACTATGATCCTTATTCTGGGGACTCCTAAAAAGGGTACCCCTAATTTTGGGAAATCCCCACATCAGGATGCCACCTACGAGGGAAAAGAGCTTCGGCTTCGCCAGCAGTATTTCTTCGTGAGTGCATCGCTGCAGGACCTCACCGGGCGACTGGGTGTGCCACACGAATCTGAAACAACTGGGTTGCTGTTAAGGAACTTAAATTAAGTTACTATATTGGGGAAACCCTATTATTTACTATAATTATATACCCATTATGGTAGCTTGATTTACGTTCCTTAACAGCAACCCAGACAAAGCCGTCGTGTTGAGGTAAAGTGCCTCACACAGCCCCAGTTTGGTCAGGACTTGCTCCGTGACTTCATCAAGCGGCCAAACTATGAGTGGTCTGAGTTGCCTGAGAAGGCGCCGTTCAACTGTACATGGTGCACGAACTTCAGCTTGGACACAAGAAGCTGGCAATTTGTGTTTCCCACGTTGCCTTGCCTGGCACAAATGTCAGAGTGCATTAATCCTGGCCGCAGTTAGCCCGTCACCCTGACGAAAAGCTTCGCTCCCTGTCATGAAGCTCTAACTCAGGGAAGGGGCGGACCCATCTCCTCCTCCAAGAGCATTAAAGTCCTGGGCAGCCCGTATAGAATTTATGGGTTGGTTGACAAGGTGGCCGTGCAGATGAATGACACCCATCCAACCATTGCTGTCGCGGAGATGATGCGCTTGTTGGTGCCTTGGGGCAGAACAGCGAGAATCAGACACGGAATATTGCACTAGATCTACTGTACAACGTTTTGCTGACTTCCCTGGACCTGCTAGGACTCGGACACCTAGCCCCTATCATTCTCGCCTTGCTTCTAGTGACATTTTTTCAAGAGGTTGCTGGCTGGCAGGTTGACGTGCAGCAGATGGACTGGTATGAGGCATGGGACCTTACCAGGCGCTTCACTGAAGCCTGTGCTATGTGGTGCAAGATGATGGCTTTTCTTTCTGGTTTGGCTGGAATGTCTGCCCGGACGATTTTCTAGTCAGTAGAAGATGGAACCCACGTTCAGCTTCTAGCGGTAACCACAAAGTTGTTGTTTGTTAAGGAAAATGCCTTGATCTCGTCACGCCCTGGGTTGATGACGGGAAAGCCTTGAAACGTCGACCAGGAAATGCCTGAACTACACCAACCACACCGTCATGCCCGAGGCTCCATGCTCCTATGCTTTTCATAATTACTTTTGTAGTATAACCCTCCCCAGGAAGGATTGCAAACAATGTTGCTTACTCTAGGCCAAAGGGGTTTGTGGGGATTCCCTGTAGGAGTGCCTACTGAAGGAAGTCGCAATCAGGATCATCGTGCCCTACCTTTGGGACTCTGCCAAATCAGTAGTGCAGGGGCCTATTGCTACCTTACCTCCACCTCTCCATGGAACTTCCTGAGGATAGTTTACCAGCGTTTCGGGGCCTATCCCCTCACGGGTTTTGGGTACAAGGCGCCTCTTTCACGGGCTCCCATTGCAACATTGGGGCATGAATTGGATTCCCTCACGTTGAGAATTACTACGCGACATTGTCTCATATCAGATTCTACTATATTGTAATGATGGAGATTCATGGAGATTCAAATCCGGGATGCTGACCTTGCGATGCTGCATGGCCGCACAGCGGCAAAGCTCTAACTTTCAGCAAGCTCCAAACGCAAAGCTGCCGAAGTTGCAGGCTAGGCCTAGGTTTCAATTGGAAGCTTCAGTCGTTCAGCGCAAAAGGAGTGGTGAACTTTCGCGAGTGCTACAACAGTCTGGAACAACCGAGACGCCCCTTCCATTCCGCGTTTCCATTCATGTTCGCGTTTCTTTATCAATCTACCATTTGATATCATAGACTCCAGTAGCTTCCCAGCTTCCACTTGATGTTGAGTTTTTTTTCCAACTTTACTCTCCTGAACCCTTAACCCCTGAACCCTAAATAGTAGCTTCCATTTTCTTTGCCATCATCTCTATATACCCCTTTTTACCCCTATATACCCCTTCATACCCCTATATACCCTAACATGCCAAGGATGAACCTGAAGACTTGCCAGGCCCTAGAGAAGTGGCCAGTGGAGATGATGGAGAGGCTTCTGCCCCGCCATGTGCAGATCATTGGTGAGACCTTGGGGCTGCAAGCTAGTAGGGTTTTAGGGTGGTGAAAGATTCGGGCTACAAGATGGTAGGGTTTTGGGGGAATTATGGGGCTATATAAGGGATGAGCTCTGAGCCCGCGGAGAGAGAGAGAGAGAGAGAGCACCCCAAACGGCGTGAATGCCAAAAGTGAAGCGGCCATGGGCGATCCCTCGTAATAAAAATGAACAAGAGTGCGGCACTACGGGGGGGTGCAACAATCATTACGCTGTTGCTTGGAACCGTTACCCCGGGGAGTGGCCGAGTCCTTGTATAGAGCGAAACAGTAGGGAACAGTCACGCACAGTTGGCAAGGCTATGGGATTATGTTTGTAGACTAGGTGATGATGGGCTCATTTTGTTCAGGTGGCGTGCATAAATAGCCAAAGCCACATGGATGAACCACTGCGCCTGTGTACCGCGTCACGAGCACGTGGTATAGGGGAGTAAGCTCAGAGTGCAGCAAATTGGTCGGAGTTTGTTTAGTCATGTGGTAGAGAGATTATGGATACTTGTTGGTGCAAGCTGCAAACAGCTGGGAAGGCAGTGCACACCATGTATCACAGCTCGCTGAGAAGGATGTGCAATCGAATGGAGCTGGCAGCGTGGGGTTGGGATAGGTAACCCTAGTGTTTGGTCGTGTTGCTACTAGCTCTGTTCCTTTGGACATCGCACCTCGTGAGTATGACCTGACTGTGACCTGCGATTGGGTGCGGCGCTGCGCGCCGGGAGGGCCATGGGGTCCTCTTGCACCCGCAAACAAACAAACAAAGAGCACCGCCGGCTGGTCCATGGGGACCAGCTTAGCACGTAGAAGAAGAAGAAGAAGAGAGTTAATGCGGATTATATGGGGGTTACGTAGCCAGGTGAGCTTGCATAATTTTACTTGCGGCGAGTCGATCTGGCAGAAGCGGTTGTTAATCGGAGATCAACAAGACCAGATCTGCCGACTGCACGACAGTATCAGATTGACCTGAGCAAGGCGCAGCTGGCTGTACTGTAGCCGCCGACGGGTTCAGACAGCATGTAGCTCGGACACATGCGTGCTTATCGATGCGGCTGGTTGCATGAACCCTCCCGACCGGATGTGTGGATTCAGAATGCTGTTGCTGTTGCGCAGGAGAATGCATCTCTCTCTCATCCGCGCACACACAGAGTGTTTGACCCTCCTGAAGACTCTGAAGAAGCCAAGGATTAATTGGGTCTGGATCAACCAGCTGATGGAGAGGCTCCCTTGGCCATACAGCATTGAACAGCTAATAGCTCGGGGAGGTATTGGAGATTTTGAAAGCAAAGATTCCTAAGTCATTCTGGCATTTATCACGGCATAGCTCATGATCTTGGGCAGCAGAAACCCTGCATGAGAGCTCTGGAAGAGTGTAGGTACGGCGACGGGCCCATCATTCAGGCGCTGAGCATCTTCGAGGCGTCTTGTCCTTATAGTACATGGCGGTTTCCTAGATTTAGAATCCCATTTATGTAGCCCGTAGCTGCTAGGTGCCGTGTTATACAGGGTACCCAGAAGAGTTCCATGATTGCCAGGAAGATGGTTTGATTCCTGTTGTTGTTCCCTATTTCCAATGCAAGAATATGCGTTACGAGTGCTGATCTTGTTCGTGGCGCGGCACTCATGTGGCTGATGGATGCTGATTGCGATTCTGATCCTGATTGCTACTTGGCGTTGGCTTTGCGCGCGGCTGTAGTCATTGTTGCAGGAGGGCGACGAAAAGAAGATCCGCATGGGCAACCTCGCCATCGTCGGAGCCAACAAAGTCAATGGTGTGGCTGCCATTCACACTGAGATCATCAAGAAGGACACAGCGATTTTGGGCGAACCCATAGACGAAAGGGCAACCCACATGCTCACCAGAACGCGGTGAGTATGTCAGTTGGCTCTCCAGCTGCCAGTGAGTACTGGCTGCGGCCACTTTAAGTTCATCTCATCAACTTGGTCACGCCTTGCAACACCCAAGCTGTTGTTGCTCCATCTCGTCACATCCAGAACGCTAAGGTTCACCTAGATCAGCCGTATGGTCCTTGTAGGAGACGTTCCCTGAGTTCTACCAATGGTGCTGCGACAATGGCGAGCCAAGCAGGATTGTGAACCTGCAGCATGTGAGACTCGCAAATGTGTAGCATTTTCCTGAACCTACTACAAGTAGGTGTGTTGCATGTTAACCAACGCATGGAAATAGGCGATTTCAAAGGGCACAAGCTTGAAAGGAACCTTGTTTTGGCCAGCATACTGTGTGTAGTTGGCACAGCCAGCAATTCTGATGAGAGAGCTCTCAGGCATGGAAGTTGTGGAAACTCAAAGTTCAAAGTGCAAACTCCCCAGACACAAATGCCACAGTGCGCTGCGCATCTGATTTCTGACGATGCATCCAACGCACTCCTAGCCTTTGTTTACAGACTTGAAGCCGCAATAAAATCCTTGTCAAAGGTGAACATGACCAACGGCGTTACGCCTCGCCGCTGGGTACACTGCGCCAATCCTGCACTCAGCGCCATTTTCACCAAGTACCTGGGTTCCTCGGAGGCAACCAAAACCGTGGAAGCTTCAATGTGCTGCTGCTGTATGGAGAGGAATTCAGGGGGCACTCCTTTGAACTGGCGCAAACGCTTCTGTTCATGCGGTTGATTTTCTAGTGTTGTGCAACTGGTGGCGGATGAAGGCGATATTCGTAATCATGTGAAACTCGGGAAGTTCCATTGGATCCGAGGCTCCCAGAAGTGGTTGACCGACATGGACCTCCTCAAGGCATCCAAGTGAGATGGCTTCATCAGCCTGTATTACATTTATTGATGAAGCTCCTAGGTTTCTTGGGTGGAATCGGACCTTAAAGGTTCCTTAACGGTGTTGTTTGATGCACCAAGCACTCCATTCTCAGCAGATGCTAAGTACAAAGAGAGTGATTTCATGTGAATTCCAAATCTCGAAAAGCCTTGACAGCAGTCATCCTCTTCCCTGACCCCACTTCATGCTGTGTTGTGAGCTTACTACTGAACACCTTGCAATGCGTCACGTATGGATTCCGGAAAAGGCTCTCAAGAGCAAAATTCTGGCAGGGCGGTCAGCATCTAGTGACGAAGCTATTGCCAGGAGATGCTCAAGCACAAGGAAGACCCCAAGATACACGCAGAGCATCCAGGATGAACCCTTCATGTTCGGGGTCTTTGCCTATCCCTTGTTAATCAAGATGATGGGCTGGAAGATCCTATGTAAGCCATAATCGAAACTCCTAGTATCCCCCGTAATATATATCCGCGGTAGTCCCCTCTATAATCCCCTATATAACCTCCTTTAAGGAGTCTAGACCATAGCTCATGTAAGAGCAAGTCACATCAAGATGGGCTTCCTGCACTTCATGATAAGGTTCCAAGTGACAAGTGCCTGCATGCCGGTCATGGCCATAAACTTCTGCTTTGCACGGCCCCCACTGGGTTTCCAATTACTTATTCCGGAGCCTGCATTCTCCATGAGCATCCCAGTGACAGCAGTGAGGTGGATGGCCATGCAACCCCGAACCCTAAAGCCCTAAACCTTAAACCCTTAAACCCTAAACCCTAAAACCCTTAAACCCTAAATCCTAAAGCCCTAACACCCTTAACCCTAGGTGGATGGCCATGAAGCGTGGGTGCAAGGCAAAGTTGGCCGAGTGGCTGAAGGCCGTCCAGCCCTTCAAACATAACCAGAACAACCTCAGTATATAGGGCAAGGCTCTTTGCCCCAAATGAGCCATAACCCCAGTAATGGAGAATCACATGGAAAAGAAATTGGAAAATGACATGGAAACTGGCACTATGTAGGCGTTTATAGGGATTATGAGCTCTAACCTAAATTCCCAGGGCTACATAAGGGGTTGTATACGGGAGCATTATAGGGGTTATTAAGAGGGATACTAGCAGTTTAGCATATGGCTCATATGTACTCTGATATCTTTTGTCATGCGCATCCCGGGCTTCTACTGTATCCAAGCATTCGAGCATCCGTGCGTTTGCTTATGCGATCCTGGGCATGGGTCCAATAGTGGTGAGCCACAGGTACCTAAGCCCTAAACCCTAAACCCTAAAGTCGGGTTGTGGTTGTGGGTATGGCAGTGATGGTGCAGGTGCTGGAGCTGGTTGTGGTGGTGGCGGCGGTGGTGGTGGTTATAGCAGCCGTCGAATTAGTAGCATTTGTAGCAGCAGTCAAAGATTTGGTAGGAGGAGCAGTAGGTTGTGGAGTTGGTGTTACGGCCAGAGTAGGAGATGGATATAGCATGGGTAATGGCAGCAGGAGGAGAAAAAAGGAGTAGCTGCAGTGGTACAATTGGACACAGGTTACAGTAGGTGCTGTGAGCAAGCGGCATGCCCAACGGGTGCTTGTTGGTCTCATGTACGTGTACCCTGGATTACACCTCCTGGACATGTGACTGTGACAGTAGCTGGCAAATGCCCTCCTGATGGCAATTGGATCTGTGCCGAACAGCTCCTTCAAGAAGTACTGTAGCACTGTCCTCGCTCGCGAACATCAGGAAGATTTCTCCCGGTCTTCTCCCGAAATCTCAAGTCTATCCGCAGCGCACCCTGGGCGCGACTGGGTAGGAGACCATGGACCTGGAGATCGATCAGGATGCCCTCATTGACATCCAGAGTCCAGGCAGCAATGTGAAGCCCTTGATGTCGTCCCAGAGCTCTGGGGCAAGAGCGAACGTGGCCCGCTGTAAAGATTTCAGGCATGGCATTCAGAAATAGTGTCCATCGGGATGCAATTCGGAAGTATTTAGCTTGCAGTGGCTGCAGTGGTTTTTGTAGCCAACATGCTGCAAAGCCTTCATTCCTTCAAGGGGAGACAGATGTCTGAGAGTGAATTTTCTTCGTTGGCAGGCACGCCTGAGGTTGTCAGGTGGGCCCTGATCGCAACCCATTCAACTCTCCGAGAGAATTCCATTGCGAGGCACGCATGGCACGCGTAGCATTACGGCCCAGACAACCACCACCATCACTGGCCCATCACTGCTGCTCGCTGCGACACGCAATGACGTCCTCCTGCAAAGCAGTGGATGCATGGATGCAGCATCCCACGAAGAGATTCATGACTGACGACATTTTCACGTCATTGCTGCGCTGGAATCGCATGGATCCTGCCCAGTTCCAGCAAGATGGACACCCGGTCTACTCGACGCAGATGTCTTTGAGCAGCATGGATTCAGGATTTGTGGAGACAGGCCTTATTTCCGCTTGGTACAGCCCGCAGGGGCCAATGATCACCAACGAGGATCCGTCTAAGGGTCGAGAGCTTTGAGTTGATGGCATTGACCACTTAAAGCTTGGCTCTAAATCGTCGTAGTCTTGTTCTGACTAGGCAATGAATATTAGACACAGCTTTCTTCCTCGGGCTCTGTGAGGATGTGCGACAGGCCTGCGAGTCCCATCCCGGATGCTTCTTTGGCGTGGCTTCTGGGGACATCAGGAATCCTGTGCGCTGCGTGCAGGAGATTCGGGATTATGCGTCCTGTCTTTGCTTTCATGTTATGATCTCTTTATGTACGCCCTGAGGTGTCTGTAGCTAGCATGTATTGTAGCACCTCACGTATAACAACTCTGGGTGGAAGAGTCTGAGATGGATATGTTTTGTGGCAATTTTCTGACAGCGGAAAATGAACTGCCGTTGGAAGGTGTTTGAACATGCCAGTATACTGTAACAGTTGAGGTCCAGAACCATGGCTTCGTGGGAGTCCGAATTCTGCCATGGTTGTGGCAGAAATACGCAAACGACCCACTCTTCTACCCAATCTACACTGCGTCTGGACATTTATTGATGGAGAAGAGTGTCGTCTTGTAAATGCTGAGCTGACCACTAGGCAAAACACACAATAAAGCCTGCAATGGCATGTGGGAGATCATTGTAGGCATGAACAACTCCAGGCTTGCGTGGAGCTGGGTGTGCCCCTTTGCTTGCAGGCCACAGGGTGTGTTTTGTTTGGGGCCCGCAAGGTTTGGGTTGTGATTCTAGGACTGAAGTTGATTGCAGGATGTTGGGAGGTTCTGTCACACTTGTGTCACAGCAACTATGCTGCAGGTTATGATAGCTGACTTCATTGTTCCGCAGTGTGGATTGCTTCCTGCTGTTCGCTAGAGAGGTCACGTGCGTTAAACATCGCAGGGGCCATCCTTTTGCCAGGGCCTCCTACAAGTTATTAAGCTGCAGGGCATTGTCAGTCTGGACACAAAGTCCGATTGCAATATGCCTCCACTTGTAGAAGCCCTGTAGGCACCCATAAGGTCATGCCGTTCGCACTTGTTTGGGATCCCTGAGAACAGATGGTGACTACACTGACTACTGTTGCATCAGGGTATGTAGGGAGATACGAGGAACCTCTTCCAGCCTTCTCAGGGTGGACATCTTCCATTATTGCATAATTAATGTTCCCAAAAGTGTGGGGGCGTACGCCCATGGCCGTAGGTAATACCTGCAAGAAGTGCATCCCAGAATCTGGTGATCTCAGCAGCTGGAAAAGTACCGAGCGCTCTCTGCTACAGAACACAAAACATAACCTTCAAACTTGCGAGGGCAGCCAAATGTTCTTCGTAGTTACCATCATGGATGACATGAGTGTTTCCTCATCTGCCTACCTTGCCCAACACGGGTCCAATTTTCCGTAATGGCCCAATTTACCCTGCATATCTACCTTGTTCCAAAGTATCAAATTTTCTGGGGCAGGTAGGGCAGACGGGTCCCATGCGGCCCAGCGACATGGGCCGCCCAATCCCGCACCTTGGTCGAGTTGTGTTAACGGACAGGTTTATAGGGGTTTATGTGGGGATTATCCAGGGGTTGTATAGCATGTTATAGGGATGATACAAGGATTCTAGTGCTTGGGTGAGATGAATGAGGCTTGCTGGGTGGCCATAGAGCTACTTGTGAAGCCTCTGCCCATGAGTCTTGCCGGCAGCTTTCCAGTTGTGCTCAAAAGACGCTTTTTTCCTAGGTCAAAATGCCCGTGATTCATGTTTGAAGGTTTGCTCTTGGGTATACAGGGTGGGACAAACATTTTCAAAGACACTCCGGCGCTTGATACAGGCACAACGTGCATGTGCCAGATGCGTGCGGATATCTACAAAGTAAACTGCGACTACTGCTTGGTTCCTTTGCTGCTGAGGTATTTGGAGCAAGTTTTGCTGGATTTCCCCGACTTGGTGGTGGTGGCCGGACACATCGGCCCAGCACCCAGGACTTTGGTGATGATTGTGACGATGTTTTGGTTGAATACGATATCCGGCATGACAAGCAAAGTCGCTGGCCTTGACCCAAATGTAGCAAGGGCCAAGCACAACGCAGGGGGTGCTCTGAGGTGCCCCATGGTTAGACGAGATGCTGTTCCTGGCTGGCAAGTTTCCGAACCTGTACATTGACACGTCCGCCTACCTCCCATCGCGCCACCAAGCTTGCATCGAGCGGTGTCCTACAATATGGGTGATGAATTTTTAACACAACGTCTGCCTTCAAGTCAGCAAAGCTGTCATCTCAAGACGTTGGCCACGCCTTCTTGCCCGTATCTTGACCTTCTTACTGTACCTCTGTAATATCTGGCGCCACCATAGCTCAGGCTATCCACGGGAACTAGTTGAGTACATGCGTGGGCGCGGTGCCAAGAGAGTTCTCTATGGCTCCAACTACCCGATGATCCAGCATCAGGCCATGACTTTCAATAATGTGCTACTCACGCCCGATTTTTTTGTCAGTAAAGGGTGGCACCAATTGACAACCATCCGATTGCCCGGTTGAGTCGCCTATATAGCGCGAGTGTGGAGGTATGGTGGGGACCTGCAACTTCTTTTCATTGTGCATGCGTTTGGCCCTATCTGGCAACTGCTGTAGGCCATCCAAAAGCAGTTGGCTGATTTGAAGCTGGAGCCTGACACGATGCAGCTGTTCCTACGCCACGAGGCAGCAACTAGTTTGTCTCAGCCATGAGACCGCCCACGCCAAGCCAAAATACATCATATTTTGCTGGAAGTCACCGAAAGCAGCAGCGTCTGCATAACCTCTATCGTGCTGGGCGACAGATTCCAGAATGCAAGTGCCATGGCATTTTTTGGTTTCTAGACACCCGTTGCAGAACAGTGCTTTCAGATGCTGGCAGACTGGAAGCTGGGAGTGCTTCGCATGTGCATCAAACGGAAAGCCTAGGTGAGAACGCGCATCGTGTATTCCGCTTGCGAGCTTCGCGTCTTTAGTTCGACTGTTGACTGCTTGGGTCGGCGAGTGGCAAAAGAGCACTCCTGTTTCTGCAGGGATGACTTCTGGATACTGTTCGGTTGTTATGACCACAAGAAGCATCCGAGGATCAAGCGCATCCATGAGTACAAGCGCCAGCTGCTCAACATTCTGCTGCTTGGAGAAAGCATTGTGGCAAGTGCGCCAAGAGGCTTCGGCTTTTAATGCTAATCTTGTGTGTGATGTGTTCAAGGTTTGTCATCCACCGCTACCTTCACCTGAAGAAAGCATTGCCCGCTGAACGGAAGCAGCATCTCAGATGGAATTTGCTACTGGCAACCAGGACTTCGACAGAAGTTACAAGCTGGACGGACCAGTCGTCAACATCGTGTGCTGCGTTCTTTCTGCAAAGGTGTCAGAAGCGAGTTGTGCTCATCGGCGGCAAGGCTTGCTATGCAGTTTCATGAACGTTGAGGGGGCAGCAGGAAGGAAGCCTGCAACCCCCACGTTGGCATACGTGAGGTTCGCTCTCTTTGTGAGCCATTACCTGGAATCTGGATCCGAGTACTGAGCATCTTAATTAGATTGCTGCCATTGCTATTCTTATTATTTTTCTGGCTACTAGCATGATTATCATTCCTTTATTTGGTGAGGCAGCCTCGGCGTATGTCAATGCAAAGATCATCATCAAGCTGATCAACAACGTTGCGAAGGCCTGCTTTACAGGGTTCTTGCCAAACCGAGGCGCTCCAAGTCTGTGGCACATAACGTGCTCTGGAGTTCGTATGTGGCTGCGAAGGTGCTAGCTGTTGGTATTGTGTGCGCAGGTCATCAACAACGATCCCGAGACTTCGCCGTATCTCAAGCTTCTAGCCACAAATTTGTGCAGAACTTTGAGCCATGCACCGAACGCAGTGAGAGCACAAACTTTGTGGGGTACACATTCCTCTCGCCTCTTCAGGTTGTCGTTGTCCAAATATCCTGTTCCACTTTAGGCAATCTCTTGCCTCCCGAGGTGTTGGGCGGTTTCATCTTTGTCGCTGTGCCGTAGTGCTTCAAGGGATGTAGGTCAGTGCTTGCAGGTGCGCTTTCGTACCAAACTACTGCGTGTCCGCTGCGCAAGTCATGATTCCCGCCTCGGACATTTCCGAGCACATTTCCACCGCGGGCACGGAACCTTGACCTGAAAAGTCCTTAGAGCTTTGTATCTTCTAGTCCTACAAGCTTTGAATCTCAAACGGCTCGGTATGGAGCACCCGCAGACACTATGCCTGCAAGAAATGAACAATGCCAGAGAACTGCAGTCAACTCCATGGGATCCAAGAAGCGTGCCTTAGTAAAGTTCAGATCTTGCATTGTGTTGAGCAGAATTCAGAGGTATAATCTGTATAGTTGAGGTATACAGTGTCTTCTGATTGTGTGAAGGATTATCCGACGAATCATGCCAGGAATTAAGCAGGCTGCTACACAACTTTCCAGTGCTAAGGAGGCGAGCGGGACTTCCAACATGAAGCGCCTTGCCTTCACAAAATGAACTTGCGAAGGCCTGTCAGGCGATGTGGGTAGATAAGTAAGCATGTTGCAAAGTCATCTATGCCTGCAGCTGTTACCAAGCGCGCTCTCCTGCCTGCCTTCGAAAGCCCAAGCGATGCCGCTTCTGCGAAGCAGAAAAGATGCTGCTTGGACGCTCGCAGCCTGGTGAGGAGGCGTGGTGAAGAAACGTGTTATGGAGGGACAAATTGTGAAGCACTTGTGCTCCTTCTGTATAGACGGCTCTGGGGGAGCTTGGGGTGATGAGTTGGAAGGAGTGGTGTCTGTTTTGCAGCAGTATACTTCTCCTGGCACGGGGGCCACCATGAGAATCTGCTCTTCACAAACGCTCTCTTGCCAAGCCTCTCGTATAAGCCTTGAATCCTTCAGACAGGTCGGTCTTATAGGTCTTCTCCAAAGCTTCCAACCGCAGAGCCTCCTTGGCAAATCTGTCTACAGTATGTTCAAGTAGCTGCAGCCCTGGGGCAGGGCTCCTAAGAATGATGAACACATTCACATGCATCTTGCGCTCCCTTCATATCCTCCAACTACTCTCCAACTCCATGCTCGTAGTGCTGAGCAACCCCCTAAGCCCTGGACGGAAGAGCCCTGCAAAGCAATTCCAGTTGTGCAGGTGCGCGATGTCCTTCGCGCACTGGAGCTCGCCGCCTCCGGAACGTCAGGGCACGGATATGGTCAGGAGCGACTTGGGCCTTGATTCTAGCAGCTGCTGGTCCCATTTTTGGGATCATGGCAGGGCTTGGTAAAAATAGATACTGTAGCCTGTAGCGATTGTATCGTTAGGGTTGCCCTGTAGACAGGATCCAAATAGATTGCAAGTGTCCAGGCTAGAGTCCTCAGAAACACCAACATGGTTGACATGCGCTGAAGTTGCCACATCTTGGCCTAGTTGTATAAGTCCTGGAAGAAGATTGAGTCTGTGCTGACAGAAGTATCTGCGATTACTACGTCATACTGATACTACATGCTGCTGGAAGTGGCTCCTAGTGTGATCGGCCGTTTATCCCAGGCATGTTTCTAAAATTACACCCTTGACTTTGGGAAGTGCCTGGTCATCAAGGTGCCTGCTGAGACTTCTGCAGGATTCGCCCTGGCACGCTGCCACGCTCCTCGTCTGAGACTAGCTCAATGCATACGACGGTCTAGGATTTCTCAGAGCATCTCGGGGCATCACATTTTGGCCCAGAACGCCTCTGCAGGCTGCAGGTGAGTCAGCTCTTCTACTAGTTGCAAAATCACAATGGCTCAGAGGACGCGGGGTGGAGTAAACTCCGCGTGGCCTGTAGGGCTGCATTCTTAGCAGTTGTTCTTAAAGCTGTTGGCTGTTGAGTGCTACGTTACATCCACATAAGCAATGCAAGGCAGACTCACCTCCACCACCACAGTAGCAGAAAGTAGCAGGACTGGCATTCCGAAGAATACTCGGTGACATCGCAATAGTGCAGCCTCGGCACGCCCGATTTCATATGAATTCTCATGTATAAGTGTACCTGAAGTAGGGTGCATCCAGTGTGGTTCAACAAGTGCAAAGGGTACACTCAAGTTATGAGTATATTGCTATGTTACCAGTTCTATCACATTACTATATCATTATAGTAATATGTTACTATATTATTACATTATTGTGTTCCTCAAGACATCAATGGCGAGGCTGCTGGCGAATGGGCTGGTTGCCCAGCTGCCGGCATCTGCAAGGCAGATGGGGGGGGGTATAAGGCCGGACGTCTTCTCACGCTTGTAATCCCCTTAAGTAGACAGAATATGGCTTTGGGTATATTCTAATAAGCTCCCCTTATACCACATATTCTATGTACTTAAGGGTGACTATACCTGAGAGAACTACTTCTGAAGAACCGAAAGCTTCCAACAAACCATACGATCTAGGACCTTCAGCACCATAAGCAGTTGCGGACCCAACCTGCTGCAGAAGCGCTAGACCATAAATCAGAGTCTTCGCTCACCTGGCTCCAACACACCACCGGTCTGAAGCAGAGCCTGCGTCATGGTAAACTGGGCTCAATGCGTAGGAAGTTGCATTTGCCAGCGTCAACGCCAGAGTGATTCATCGCAAAACTAGCGCGTGACTTTTGCAGGCAGCTGGCAGCAATCCTGCTTCGGAGCGCTGTTAGCCCGCCAAAGGAGGGAAGCAGGCACGGCAATCACCAGAATCGGCATAGTGGCTGTGCGGCGTTGACTGCAGAACACCTTCCGTTTTGTAAACATTCCAAGCACATGGTATTGATAGTGCATGGAGGCTCGGAGACACTTCACAAGATTTCATAAGATGAGGGTCAGAGTTTGAAGTGCTATACGAAAGCACAACAATGCATGATGCACTGCCGCAGTGATACTTCCGGGAATGTCAGGATTCAGTAGCAGCGAGAGGACAGAGATCAGGAAACTGTGGCTGCTGATGATGATCTAGGTTGTTCTCAACAGCCATTATATAACCCTATATAAACCGTATATACCCCCCAATATATTTCATAACCCTGTAGAACTCCTTTTAAGGTAGACCTTCCGGCTTGCAGCATTCTGCAGGCCTCTTGGGGTACCCTAAGGGTACCCTATAGTCCCCCTTAAGTAAATAGAATATGGCCTTGGATAAAAACAATAAGATCCCCATATACCCTATATTCTATCTACTGAGCGGGGACTATGTCTTTAGAACTTCCCTCATGCTTGATTCATCCCCTTCCTGGGGGATCAGGTGGACATGGCAAGCATACTTATAACCCCTATAATCTAAGGTTGAAACCATGGACCCCTAGTATGGGCCCTTAACCCTGGGATCCTTATATGGGGATCGTCCAAAAACCCATGTTTAAAATCTATAAGCACGGGGACGCATGATGCA